ACATCTTTTTCCAGTGTTGGATTGAGAGAAACAGAATCCTTGAGCATGGAGTGGATATTTGTTTTATTAAGTGAGGAATTGAAAAGTTGCCATCTCTGTTGCATTGTTAAAAATTCTGCATGCTGTGTTAAGAAATAAAAAAAAATTCAAGATCTCCTTTGTCATTATTTTACAGTCATTGAGACATTCATGCATTTGAATTTTGCACACTGCCTGCTGAGTAATTTTATGGAATAAAGGATCACTAAGCTGCCTGGTTTGTGATTGACTGATTGCTGAATTAAATACATCCCTCTGTTCCATGTTCTTTATGAAAAATTTGAAGCGCTGATTGGTTTGAATATTTCTGAATTGTGCTGAAATTTGTTTCCTGGTTGAGAAGAATGGTTAATTTACTAAATTGTGGAACTAATTTCTTGTGTTACTTGAGGACAAGCAACAAGTTAAGTTTGGGGGTGTGATAAGTCTCTTAAAAGAGACTTAGAACATATGGTTTAGAGTGTAATTGATGAGAAATGAATGATGTTTGTGATTAAAATACCCCAAAAATTTATGTTGGGCTTAAATTCTAATGGGCTTAAACTTGTTATTTTACAGGCCCATTGTGTTAACATTCATCAGAAAAAGGAAAAGCAAAAAGGAAGTGATGGGCCGGACCTAAAATATTAAAGCCCAGAGAAAAAAGGGAAAGGAAGAGAAGAAGATAAGAGGAGGAATTGGGCTGGATCTTTTGGTGGAAGGCCCAAGTTAAAGGAAAGGGAAGCTAAAGGGATCAGAAAGAAAACCCTAATCTCCTCTCTCTCTAACCCATTACGCTACCTAACCACAGCCGCACACCAAACCCACCCTCATCATATTTCCTAATCTCTCTTCCTCTAAGCCGTGAATCATTTTTCTGAAAGACCCACACAAACCACCAGCCACTCAAATCAAAGTCCAAGTGTGATTATTGTAACCATCTGTGACCACACAGCTTGCTTTAGCCATTATTCTAGAAGCCATACACCAACAGAATAGTGATGTGGATGCTGTTACGAGTGCGGAGCGAAATTGCATTTGGAATATCTGATGCGATTGTGGAACGATTGGGGACCACTGGTGTGTAACGCGCAAGGAGCGCGTGTATACCTGCTGAGCTGGAGAGGAAAATCGCGCAAAGAAGGAAAGGAACCCTATAAAAAGGGAAAGAGGAGTGAGTCAAAGCGTCCCTTCTTCCCATTCCTGATTCTGATTTATCGTTTTTTCAGTTCTTGCTTTCTGCACCATTTTTATTTTCTTTTAATTTTTATTTTGTAATGAGATTCTGGTTCATCTGATGAACTCGATACATGCATTTACAGCACTGAAATTGCTGGTTGTTAGGCTAGTGCTGTAAATCATTTTCTAGCATTTCTTGTTTGTAATTTCTTTATTTCTGTTACTGTGTGTAAGCCTCACCCATATGGATAGTGGCTAACTTTTTAGAGGTTGGGTTTTGGTGATACCCAAACCTCAGTGCTTGTTAGATCTTTGATTTTCTGGTTTTAATTGTTATATCTCAGTTGTTTAATGCTGTTTCTAATGTTTAAAATTATCTGCATTTTGGCCAAATGTCAGATGTTTGGTTAGGATTTAGTTGTTGAGAAACAATTAATTCTGGATTCTGCATTAGACACATGGACTTAGATGAGAAATCATCTAAGGGATCTCAATTCAGAAATGAATGAGTACTCATGTAATATTGGACCTGAATCTCAAGAGTCCTAATCCCACTTGGCATAGAGATATGGAAGTGGGCAACTTTGGGATAAAATAATTTTTAAGAGATTAAAAATTAACAATACAGCCCTGTTAACTGAGAATCTTAGAATGAGCTTTTTGTTAATCAAATTATTTTTCAAGCACTGTGGGGAAGGAGAACCAGAACTCAACCCACCTTTTTAAACCTCTTTATCAATTCAGATTTTCCAATTTCCTTTGTTATTTCATAGTTCAATCTGTATTCTGTTTTCAAAATTTTTGTCACATCTGTCATTTAAGTTGCTTAATTCTTCATTCTTATTTTATAACTTAGGAAAGTAATTCAGAAAATTTTAAAAGAAAAGTGAACAGTAGTGTTTTAGGTCCATTCTAAATTATTTTTACTTTACAATTTTATTTCTTTTATTTTCAAATAGTAACTCAATTTTAAGCAATTATAAATTTTAGTCATTTCAAAACGCCAACGATCCTTGTGGGAACGATAACTGGGACTTATAACAGCCCTATATTACTTGTTGTCGCGTATACTTGCGCGCATTACTTGCACAACTGTTAGCAAGGCAACAGTCACCGCAGATTGAATCGGTTTGGATTGGTTGATGAACACTCCTAATTAATCCTCTTCCCTTTTTTTTCAGAAAAATGTCGATGAAAGATATCCACTCATCATCTTGAGGGGGAGTTTTATGACTATAGTTATGTTAACTACTTGAAAAATTATTTAGTTAGTTGCACTTTGGTTAGCACTAATTATTAATAGTTTGTGGCTGATTTACTAACCTAAGTTGATTGGATATTTATCTGATTGTATATACCTTTTTTAATTGATTAATGTTTTTTTTCAATGTTTTCTCTTTCTAATAATACTCTTCATAACTAATTGTATGATAAGAATTTATTTAAATAGAATAAAAATTAAAATAAAAACATATCCCACTTGGAGTGTTATCTGTACATTGGGAGGCCAATATTTTCCTTAATTATATTTTGTGTACATTTATACTTCAATTCCTACAAAACCATTGGCGAATACGTGGAGCAAAGTGTATTATTGGTAAGAATTTATCCAAGAAACATGCTCGTGAGAGGAAAAGCAATGGTAAGGAAAAACTCAAAATACGTGTTCACATGCCGTGTACGTTACCTGCAAATTTGCACTTTGCAATTTCAATTTCAGAAATTTTTTGGAGTTAAACTAAACTTAATTACCTCTTTTGAAGTGAGTTGGTTTTGTATTCTCACTTATTTTTTGAGCTGGCTATAAAATTAATTTGGAGTGGGGAACGGATCAGGAATAAAGATATTTAAATCCCTCGTAAAGGTAACATTTGGGGATCAAATGGAGGCCCTTTCTTTTTTACTTGCTACCAATTGACCACCATTTGGTTTTGGAGTCTACAATGAAAATGGCTTAAGAAAACCACCTACTTCTACTGGTGCCAATTTCGCAATTTGATTTTTATTTCTTTGGGAACTTTTGTCTATTTGAATTTTCTTTCAACTTTGATGTCATCGCCGAACTATATTCTATTCAGTCCCGTTCACGCCCAGCCAAACATTTCTTATTATTGCCATTTTTCATTTGTCAATATTTTTCTTTTTTGTCTACGAGTTCGTTAGTCCAGAATGCAAAGAGAATAGACATAGTCACATATTGGTGATTCAGCATTGTTGTTTTGTTTGAACTCAGCCAATAATCGAGGGACATTGCCGACAATAGGTTAGGCATGTTTTCAGTCAATGAATTTGTTTCTTTCGGTTAATAAAGTTATATATCAGTACTACACGTTTTACATGGTAATTTAACTGTTTGCTAGGAATGTATTCATGCCTATGGTATTTCCAATTCAACACAATGAAACCGAGGGATCACACGGAATCCCATTTGAAGTTACTAACACATATACATACAAAGATTATGATTACAAGCCGTTTAAAAATACTGGAGCATTTGGTTTCTCCTAAGAAATGTTGACATTGTGAATGATATATCAGAATGGATGGTTCTAATAATTATAATTTATTGCTACATTTGTTTGATGGAATCTTCTTTTTTTGAGAAAAAAAAAACTTTCAATTCGTAAGTTTTAAAGTGACAAATTCCAAATTTCGACTTGAATCCCATCTAAAACACCTATCCTTACATGGAGAATGTGTTGAAAAATAAGTTGTGTTTTTAATCTTAATATCACACATGGAGAGATATGACCACATCCGATAGTTGTTTCCTCACCCAATGAATGTACCTCTGTTGGCAATCCATGCTGAGTAAACGAGGAAAGAACCTAAATTCGATTCACATAATTGCATGTGAAGTAAGAGCTATAAAATCTCTTCATCTCCTAATATTATTATTATAATACTCTTAATAATTTTCATTCATTTGCATTAATAATGTCGATTTACAATAACATAAACCTTTTATAATTTTAACTATTTTTTGACTTTTACCTTTTAAATTATATCTAAATTTAAAATGTCAGTTAATTGTACAAAATTTTGCTAGTATTAAATAAAGTAGATATACATCACCTATATTGAGATATTAACAAGTTAATTCAATGTAACATCTTGTTAATGGTGTCTTGACAATGGTGTCAAAGTGGTGTCACGTATACTAAATCTCTAATTAATGGTGTAGCATCACCTGCCGTCAAAGTAGTGTCAACAAAAAAGTCTAACAAATTAAAAGAAGAAAAAAAAAATGTAAGAATTTTAGAAACAAAAGTCCCAACTAATCATTTATGGGAAAGTGTTTGGTTGAAGATTTATTTTGAGATTGATGGGAAAGTGTAAGTGGGTATTGGAAAATATCACGTTTGGTTCAGGTTTTTAAAAAAAATACTAGACAAATAGGATAGATGGGAAAATGAATTTTGTGTTGATTTTTGGATAAAATTTACTGTTACAGAATGCCACTTAAGATGTAGTATTTTGAGTTAACTGGGGAAGTAAAAAAACAGGTGCGAAGTTTCTCCCGAACATAGATTTTGCAAATTTAAATAAATTTTTCTGGTAATATTTCGGTCAACCAAACAACTTTTTTTACATTTTCCTATCAAACTCACTTTCCAACCATTTTCCTAGTAATTACATTTTCCTAGTATTCAAAAAATTTCTCCTCAACCAAACGCTCCCTTGATATATTTACGTATTTTCATCTGGCACACGCATCCCCATTGGCACGTGCCAAGTCCCTACAGTTCAAATACAAAAACCCCTCAAACCCCACAACTCTATCAGACCAATCAACACCAACCTCGTCCAACCCAAAGCTCCATCAACAACAACGTTGTCTTCTCTCTCTCACTCTCTGTTGTTTCCAAAATCTGCGATCTGAAGGAGAGAAAGCATGTCAGAAGCAACAGCAACACCAATTCTGAAGGATGAGTTGGACATCGTGATTCCAACGATAAGGAACCTGGATTTCTTAGAGATGTGGAGGCCCTTCTTCGAGAAATACCACCTTATAATAGTTCAAGATGGAGACCCTTCAAAGGTGATAAAGGTTCCAGAAGGTTTCGATTATGAGCTCTATAACCGAAACGACATCAACCGCATTTTGGGACCCAAAGCATCTTGCATTTCCTTCAAGGACTCTGCATGTCGCTGCTTTGGCTTCATGGTTTCCAAAAAGAAGTACATCTTCACCATTGACGATGACTGCTTTGTAAGTCCCACATACAAAAACCCCTTTTTTGTTGGCATGACTTTTTTTTTCTCTCTCCTAAATAATTTGTAGTAGTTCAATCGAAATCAATTCAAAATAATTAGGAGATATTGTGATTCTGATTCTCTAGATTACTCCAATTACAATTAGTCTCAGTTGTATATAAACAGCAGAGTGTAGAGAATTAAATGTACAGAAATAATTTGAATACAACAAATAATGTTTTTTTTCTTTTCGTTTTTTGTACATACTTGCCTAGATCTAGTTCATGTGTCAATTTTTATTTTATTTTTTTTGCAATTTTGTCAAAATTGGTGGATCTTATTACTTTCTTTCCTGCATGTTTTCAGATCTCTGCAGTTTGTAATAATTAATTTGCATTGGAATGGATTTTCCAATGATCGGTAACAACATGTTGATTAGGAGGGGATACATCATAAGATCTGGTCTTTAATATTTTTTAGAAATCTGATAGTACATGTTCTTCTTTTGATGTAGCTGCTACTATTTGATTTGTTATCTGAGATATTTATATTTTTCATTTTTCAGCTTGCAAAAGATCCATCTGGGAAAGAAATTAATGCCCTGCAGCAGCACATTAAGAACCTTCTGACTCCATCAACCCCATTTTTCTTCAACACTCTCTATGATCCCTACAGAGAAGGTGCAGATTTTGTTCGTGGGTATCCATTTAGTCTACGTGAAGGTGTCCCAACAGCTGTTTCTCATGGCCTCTGGCTCAACATTCCTGATTATGATGCCCCAACTCAGCTTGTCAAGCCCCTTGAAAGAAACACCAGGTGTAGCATCCTTTGCAGCATACTATAATAGCATTAGTATAAGCTCATTTTTTGTTTTGTTTATCAGGGTTATGTCTTGTTTTATGGGGTGGTTTATTAATAGCATCATGTCTCATACCTTTTCTCTCAGGTATGTGGATGCAGTTATGACAATACCAAAGGGAACCCTCTTTCCCATGTGTGGTATGAATTTGGCATTCAACCGTGAATTAATTGGTCCTGCTATGTACTTTGGACTCATGGGTGATGGTCAACCTGTTGGACGCTATGATGATATGTGGGCTGGCTGGTGCATGAAGGTACTCCAAATTTCTATTAAATTTTTTTCACTCCTTAATGTATGTTATTTGAGGCTCAGCTTGGAGCACATGTAAAGTTGCTCCTTTGTGACTACTAAAAGGTCACGTGTTTGAATCCGAGAAACAGCCTCTTCGTAATTATACAAGGATAAGGCTGCATACAAGGATTGTTCTCACCCCACCCTCGCTAATCAGGGTTTTAATGTATGTTGTTTGTGTCATAGCTTTGGGCTCACTATACCCTTTTGTAGGTCATAAGTGATCATTTGGGATTGGGGGTGAAGACAGGTTTGCCTTACATATGGCACAGCAAAGCTAGCAACCCATTTGTGAACCTTAAGAAGGAGTACAAAGGAATATACTGGCAGGAAGAGCTGATACCATTTTTTCAATCTGTTTCTATTCCAAAGGATTGCACTAGTGTTCAGAAATGCTACATTGAACTCTCCAAACAAGTTAAGGCAAAACTTGGTAAGGTTGATGAGTATTTCAACAAGCTTGCAGATGCCATGGTGACATGGATTGAAGCTTGGGATGAGCTAAACCCATCATCATCTGGGGGAAAATCGGATGCATTGCCCAATGGTCCAGCAAAGTAAATTCTTTGATCTGTGCGGCTCTAGGGGTAAATTATGGGGCATGACAGAGGATATGGCTACACTTATTTATCATTTTTACTTTTTACCGTAAAACTAAAAAAATTTGAGTGACCCTTTTGATATATTTTTTTAATATATTTTCTTCAGTTTGGAATGTAGCTTATTATTAGAAGATTGAGTATGTTAACTTTCAAATTTGACAGTGAGATTATTGCTTTTGGGAATGTCTTGTCATAACTAAGGTTTACCTTGATCGTTAGGTTCTTGTTCTTTCATCCTCCGTTTGTTTTTATTTTATTTAGTTCCATGTTAATTATTATGTGATTTGAATTTGGAATTTAACAAAGGTTGAATGACTGACCCAGGCTGAGTATTCTATAATATATTTGGATAGTAAGCTACAGAAAAAAAGGCTCTTGCCGGCTTGGTAATTGTCTTTTCCTAAACACAACTGTCAAATGGATTCAACAAGATCGAATGAAAATAGATATTTGTGCAGTTAATAAAAATATGCATTTTAGCCTGTTAATAATAATAGATATAGATTTTCTCCAATTTTCCATCTTTATGCATCCTCGCCTCGCCTATTCGGGAAAAGAAGAGGATAGATATTCAATGATTTGGTCTTAGTAGATAAGGTTGTAAATAGGTTGGGTTGGGTTGGGATTTGTAGGGGTGGCAAAACGGGCCGGCCCGTCTCGACCCGTCCGTCCTGTTGCCAACCCGTCAAAAGTGAGTTGGTCTGCCCTGCCCTATCTCTTGAATTTGGGTTAAAAATTCCAACCCGCTCCGTTTTATGGTAGGTTGGCGGGTCAACCCGCTTAAAAAATAAAAAATATTTTATTAATATTATAATATTACTTATTTTTATATCACATTTCCCTTAGTTTTTTTTCAATCTTAAATTTAAACATATGTTAATATTTAGTCAGATATTCTTTACAAACTTGTTTTTATCTCCATACATAAACTACCATTCTCATAAATAAAATTTTTCTTCTATATTTTTTCTAGAGAGTACTAAGATAACAAAAAATTAGATATCACAAAAGCTTAAAAATAAAATAAAATACTACCCTGTTTCCAAAAATAAAATAAAATACTACCTAATAGTAAAAAAAATAAAAAATTTGACCCGGTGGGCCAACCCGCCCCGTCCCGCCGCCAACCCATTTTGACCCACAACCCAACGGGGCCGGTTGAGGCGGGTTGGTGGATTGAAATATGTAACTCAACCCGCCCCGATTTGGCGGGTTGACCCGTCGGGTTCAACCCATATTGCCACCTCTAAGGATTTGTCTTAAAAAGATCAGATTTATATAAAATATTTAGGTCTGATCTGTTAGTCTTGTGTATATTCAAATTATAAGTCTTGTCTGACGTATATTTAAAAAATAAAAAGCATTGGTTTAGGCATGTTAGCTTGTTTAAACCTACAGGCATTCAATAATTAAAATAATATTACTTTATTATTTAAAAGTATTAAAATAGTAATTTTTATTTTAAATAAAATAAATAATACGATATAGGTCGTAGGCTTATTGTAACACTCTGTGTGCATTCGGTGTATTAAACATACAATGATATTAAGCGTAATTTGTTTAATCGAATAACAGCAGAAGCTACTTATCCAACTATGAATACTCTTACTTTATCCAAGTGAATTAACTTTTTCTTTTAACTTTATTTATTTATCTATCTTTATGTAATTACAATCATGAAATAACCTCAATATCATAAATAACATACTTAGTCATGAGCCTACATCAAGTAATCACGACAACATCCGTAATTGTATACAAATACATGTCCTCAACAACAAATAAACAAGATTATTTAAAAGTGGAATAGATAACCCCTATACTCACAACAAATAATAACATAATCCAACATGTCTATCATAATCATGTCTCATCATAGTAAAATGAATAATAATAAATATGCATGTCTCATGGCATCATGCAATCTCTACGTCGGCCTCTTGCCTCTAGATGCGTCCGTCTCATGGATATCAGCTCCTGAAAAATGTGCCTCATAAGGGGTGAGATTTTAACAAATCTCACTAAGACAAGGGGTCTTCACAAATTCCCAAGCTCACTTACAAGTATAATAAATATAATAGAATAATAAAATGCATAATGTTGGATATATAGCATGTAATATGTGCAACATAAAAATATCTAATTGCCATAGGTAAGTACGCATTACGCACATCTGCAACATACTAACAAGATATATGAGGCTTCCCCTTATACCCTACACCCAGGGTCGATGCCTGCACATGTAGGACACACTACTACATCCGCATATATATCCACACATTATGCCAGAAGTCATTTCCAAATATATCAAATAAATATCAGTGCATAAATCATTTTCAGAAAAGCATATCATGCACATAAATCAACCCCCCGTGGAGTTTGGTGAAACAAACTGTGGATTAATCCGAGGACCGAAAGCTAACTTGTGGTAGCTAAATCCTCCCACATAACTCGGTGTTCGAGAGATTGCCAATAAGTACAATATCCAACAAGATCACAATACGTTTTAATAACATAAATACCATCAACAAACATATACAACTCCACAAGCCTAATGAAACACTATTTCTTTTTCGTTTTGTGTACCGCGGGCTCCTTCCAAAGCCCTAAGTACTAAATATCATAGATTCTGACTACTATTAATTTTGCAGAGGCTCCTACAGTTCAATTAAGGGTTCTATATCATTAGAACAGGTTCTGTATGAGCAAAATGACACAAAACTCAAAAACTGCAGAATATTCGGATATTCATCGAGGGCATATTCGGATATCAATATCTAGATATTCTTGAGCCAATATCCGGATATCTATATACGAATATCATATTTGGATATTTCGTGACGGAAATGCAGAAATACATTATTCACTAAAATATCCATCAAGACTCCAATTTTACACATAACAGAGGTCCAATACTTCGTTTTTAAGCCTGTTCATACTAGTTTATACTTAGGTTGTCTATTTTTCTCCTTTTACATGCTTAAAGCTTCAATCTTTCTATAAAAACTCATGGAGTAAAGGTATAGGTAAAGGTATATACCCAAAGCTCAAAACAGAGAAAAAAGAGCACTTCCAAGGTTCTTAATCCACACCACACTTTTGTCCACTAAGGTGCACGAAGTTAAGCTTCCAAGCTTGGTCCTTTATTCACAAAGGTAGTTCCATGATGCTTTAAAGTGTGAGAATGAGACCCCAATTACCCTAACCAAGAAGGGCAGCCCTCACCCTCACCAAAACAGAGGCTTGAACATTCCAAGAAGATGCCTTTCTCCATAAAGATGGTGGCTTTCAAGTGTTTTCAAGGTTTAGGTGGAAGGAAAAATATGAAAGGTGGTGTCTTTATGGTTTCTTGGAGAGAAAGTAGTGAGAGCTAGGTGATGTAGTTCTTAGCAGCCATGAAGAGAAATGAGGGTGAGGTCTACATAGGAAAATGAGAGCAATAAGAATATTAAGTGTGCCTTACCTATTTAAGACATGCTCATTTAAGATACCCGATATTAGTTCTTGTATCTTTGTTGATTATTTTTCTCTCAAACTTTAAAATGCTAACTTAGTATTTTTTCTAGGAATATTTATATTTTATTTTTATTTTTCGGGTCACTTTGTCGGTACATTTATACCGCGAAGCACATAGTATTTGCACTTTTCTTCCGAAAGATGACTTGATATTAATAATTATAATTTCTTTCTAATTATCTTATTTTAATTATGGAATAATTTTCTAAATTCATAAATAAATTATTAAGATTTCTAATTTAGCGGTGCAGGTTCTCACACTTATAAACTCAACATATAAAAAATCTCATGTCCTGCTTTTTAAATAGACTTGTTTTGAAGCCTGAGTTTGTTCTATTTCACTATATGTAGTTGGCCATGTATGACCTGATGGAGGTCGAATTGTAAGTCCCTGTTAGTTCGGCTGATCTGTTTATATCCCTATAAGTAGATGACCTAGAATTTTTAAATACTATAATAACCAATTATTTATATTGGTCTTACTGCGAAAGTGCGAAGCATGTTGCTATGCTAGTGCTCGTCAATCATTATATAGTTCTGATAATTCTGGGTAAAAAGAATTTTGTGTACTCTTAATAAAAAAACTTCTGTTCATATCTTAACACAAATTTTAAAATAATTCTTAATTTTTTTTTTATGATTTGATGGGTAAGGAGAGAAGTTCACGATAAAGGAGAACTATCATAAAATGAGTGAACGACAATTCATCTCACCCTAAAATTTTAATGCATTAAATTAATATATTTGTTTCACTTATATTGTTATTGTTTAGTCTATTTCTAATTAATATGATATTTTACTTGGATTCTCAATATTATTTAATTATTAAATTTTAAATTTAATAAAATATGTTATCAAAACCAAAAAATAATAAAATATACCTTTGTCTTTATTATTCTTTTATCTACTTTATTTTAATACTTTATAACTTGTTTAATAAATCTTTCTCAAAACTTTTTCCTCTTCATATTTATCAATTTTTAAATATAGGTTCTTTTTAATTTATATTTTATTCATATATGCGTATGTATGTTTATTTAAAAAATAATAATGTGTACTGGTCAAACATGAGGTGACTAGTTAGATCAAGCACAAGCATATTTTTCTTCTATAGAAAATGGTATTGTAAGGAGTACCATAAAAATGTGTTAATTACTGAATATAGACCTTTTTTGTAACTAACTGACTAAACATATGTAATATTAGAGTCTTATTTATTGTTAATTGACAATAATTCATTCTAACTAGTAATTCTATTTGCATCGGACACGACGTTAATATCAAAGGTTTGATATATCAAACCACTACACGTTACCAATGTTGTCAAACTCGAGTTTCTATGTAGAAACGGAAAGGGGTGGTAGAAATAGAAAACGTAAAAACGACACGAAATGTAAAGTTTCTACATTATACTACTTAAGATCAAGATATAAAATTATATATATACATGTAAAAAAAATATCACATAATAAAGATGTGTGTTGAGTCATTTATCTATCTAAAAAGGAAAATTATTTTTGATAACCAAATATTAAAATTATAAACAGTAATAACTAACAAGTAATGGATAACCAATCTGTTCTAACTGCTTCGTACACTCTGCAATTTTGGATCATTGCTCATCAAGATATATTTTCACTTCTTTCTATGCACACAATGATTCAAAAACACAAAACAATTCTCATAGCATAACTTATAATAGAATTGTAGTTTTATAAGACATAATTATAAAAGACATATCCAAACAAAAAGATATGAAGATATGTGCATATGATTTAGGGAAAACGAAAATTGTTTTTTTTTAATTTTTTTTTTGTAAATCTTTTTTTTTTTAAATTCGTTTAAGTAAAAACGGTAAAAATGTAAGTTTTTGCCATTTTTACACGACGTTTTTACCAATTTTTATCAAGGACCATTTTTACTTGCGTTTTAACACGCATCACTCTAGTAAAAACGTAAGTTTTTACATTTTTACACTAGTTTTTGACAACAATGCACGTTACTATTTTTTTTAATGCAATATTAATTTTATTCAAACAGTGTGTATGAGATATCTACTAATGTAATACGAGTTCAAAACTAAACCAATTTGCATTGTCAGAAAGTTGAAGGATATACGATTTACATACTTTCCTAAATTGAATAAAAATTGATTGGACTTTTCTCTTACGAGGTGAGCGAATATTATTTTCCTTATTATAGAAAGCAGGACCACTTAGAAAGACACATGTCAATTTACCTTGAAAAACATAAAAGTCTAGTTTATTTTTAAGAAATAATATTTGTCTTTCTAAAGAATATAATTTTATATCCTTTAAAAGGACAAATATTTTTCCCTTAATTTTAACATATAGTTAAGGACTAAAATTACACAAACTTCTTAAATAGACAAAAAAAGATCTTAAACTTTCTAGTTTCAAAATAAATATATCTTTTAACAAAAGCAATTATATATATATAGGCTTTTTGACCCTTTTGTCCCTCATTAATTAATTAATAATCATTTTTCCCCTTACTCAGAACTATCTACCAATTTGCCCCTCTTTAATCAATTAACTTGAAGATTTAATCGATTAAATGGTTAAAAATGACAAAAATGGTTGACTTGAAGATTTAATCGATTAAATCTCTCTGTTTAATCGATTAAATCTTCCAAGATAGAATTTCGTTTTTGAGTTTGGAGTTGTCTTTTTTGAAGAGATTGAGATGGCTTCTTCAAAGCAACCAACTTGTTGTTATCTTGGAAGATTACACCTTTATAGACCAATCCATGACTTCCTTTGCCTATGAGAAATAATCAAACTCTGCCATATTCGTTAGTATTAATTCTCAGCTAATTCTTTTGCATGTGAGAAATAATACTACATCAATGGAGGGTTGGTTTGGGTTGAGTGGAAAAGGCCTTAAAGATTTCAATATGCACATATATCATACAACTTTTTGTAGTACCCAGCGAATAAAGGTGCTTTGGAGACCTAAGAAATAATTAAAACAAAAAATTGTTGAGAAGAGGAAAACAGGGGAAGAAGGTTCAACTTCAGAATTCAATTGTGGGTCTTTGCTGGATAAACCAATTGATTCGGATTCAGAAGACTCCATTGTTATCCCTCCACATTTCAAAAAACCCTAATAACGGAAATTAATTGATTGTGGAAACAATCAAGGCAGTGAGAGAAGAGAGAAAACAAGGTGCTTTGTAGCGTTGGGTGCTTTGGAGATTAATCGATTGAACAGGGAGATTTAATCGATTAAATCTTCAAGTCAACCATTTTTGCCAGTTTTGACCATTTAATCGATTAAATCTTCAAGTTAATCGATTAAAGAGAGGCAGATTGGTAGATAGTTTTGGATAAGGGGAAAAATGGTTATTAATTAATTAATGAAGGATAAAAAGGTCAAAAAGCCTATATATATATATAAATTATGTAAATATTATAATTTATTTTTAAATAATATATAAATAGGCTAAAATCGTAAGTTAAATAAGCCTTTTTAAAACCACAGGACCTTATCTTAGTTAAATATAACTTAAACTTAATTTTTTGCAAAATAAGTTAAATCGTAGTCCTTATAGACTACACAACTTATTCTTACCGGGAAGCACACTTTGCCAACGCTCCTCTTGGATTCCAAACTAAGTACTCTTAACATATTTACCAAAAAAACAAAAGTAAAAATTCTGAAAATTTTCCAAGCTGAATTGGCTAGGGCGAGTAGGTTCTAAGAAATAGTTTTCCAAGAAGTCATTTGTACCCATACTAACAACGTACAAGGCAATGGAGAACCGAGGAGAAAACGAGAGCAGAGGGAAAGCGAGTGAAGAAGAAGATCTCCTCCTTAGGAGCATAGACAAACCCAAAGATGTAACAGAAATCTCAATGACTGATGTCCCATTAACCTCAATAGTGAGGCCTGTGCTGAACAATATGGAGAAAAATCCGGATATTACCTGCAGTCAACCAGGATCAAAACAGAAAAGCTCTATTTCCTATAGAGACAAAGTCATCCAACTGAACGGCCAAAAGTACTCTTCTCCTGAAGAAGAAGATGAATGGTCAATCAGTCAAAGGGAAGAGGAGGAAGCGGAAGACATGGACGAGGCTAAAGAAGAAGATGATCCCATATGCCCTACCTACAGAGTATCTAAGGAACAACACAAAGAGGATTGCAAACAATGGAGGAAGGCTCTCATTATTAAGCTACTCGGAAGGAAGATTAACCCAAAATTCCTGATGACGAAACTGGAGAAACAATGGAACTTGGTCGGCTCCTATGAACTAATTACCCTGGACAATGGGCACTTACTAATTCGTTTCAAGGAGGAAAGGGACTACATTCATGTCCTTCAAGATGGGTCGTGGATTGTAGTGGAGCATTACCTTGTGGTGCAAAGGTGGAGACCCCTTTTTAACCCCTACGATGAGGAGGTGAGGAAGCTGGCGGTCTGGGTGAGAATACCTAGATTACCAATCGAACTCTACTCAAGCCAACACCTTTGGCAGATTGGGAATATATTTGGTAAAACCCTTAAAATTGATAGGAGCTCTCTGAGGAAGAACGAAGCCGGATAGGGTGAACTAACGCAGAAAGCCCGTTTTGCAAGAATCTGTGTGGAAGTGGACATGAGAAAGAGTCTCTTATCTAAGTTTAAAAGGAAAGACAGTACCTATCAGGTAGGATACGAAGGTTTACACATGTTATGCTTTAGCTGCGGCAGGTACGGCCACCGTAAAGACACCTGTGGGGTTGGAACTAACCTTGCAACCAAGAACCAGCACTGCGGTGTGGTCGATAATGGAGGTACCAGGAAAGTAGCCTTGGCAGCTAAAGGTGAAACCGAAGAACCAAACGCATTTGGAGAGTGGATGATAGTGAAGAGATACCATAAGAGTCGTCGGTTGAAGGCGGTTCCGGAAACTCCGCCCACCGGAAAAGCGAAACCAACAACGGAGGGCTTAGGGAAGGGACAAACCAGTCCTCAGGACAATAATGTCAGTCCTAGGAGACAGGTGATTCAGAGCAGGGCTATCAGGAAGGATAGCTTACCCATAACAGCAAGCAAATCAGGGAATCAGACGGCTATGCAGGTTACTGTCACTCCTCCAGTAGCTAAAGATTAGGGATTTCAGAAATCGGTGGTCCAATCAGAGAAAAAGGTGGCTGAAGTCAACAGGCCATTGTTTCCCTCCCTACGAAATATCGCTGGGCCCAGTAGTGGCTGTCAAAAAGATTGCATCCTAATTGATAAATAACCAAGGAAGGAAAAGGGTAATTTGGGTAGTGGTGGCCCAAAGTCTAAAACCAAAACACCCAGGAAGGATAACAAGCCTTACATTGGGCCCAACAAGAAACAGACTGGACCAATGAAAAATACACTTGGAGAGATGGCTAAAAAGCCTTTACTGCCTCTCCAGCTGGATAACGTTAACATCATTCCATCAGCCGTGGAGTCAGAAGCGAAACGAGCAAAAGATGAAGAGATATTATCCTTGATGAAACACATAGACAAGGATCAAGAGAACGTGCTACTGGACCGGACCCTAGAGGCTTTGGGGTCACCAACTCAATCCTTTTGATGGTTGGACTCGGTTCGTATTGGGCCTCTACTACTATACAAATTGTTTATTTAATGAATTACATCATTTAGAATAGTAGAGGTGTTCACAAGAAAGGTTTCTTAGGCCTAATACGGGACCTAAAGTTCAGGTATAGGATCAAAGTCATGGTCTTTCTAGAAACAAAATGTAGTGGAGCGAAAGCTGCCACCAGGATTAAACAGTTGGGGTTCAGTAATTTCCACCGCCAGGATGCTATCAGATTCTCTGGTGGAATTTGGGTCCTTTGGGACAACTCTGATATCTCAATCCAGGTTCTCCTATCCCACCACCAATTTGTCCATGTAAAAGCACATCACAATGAGTCAGGGATAGAGGAATTAACCACCTTTGTGTACACTAGCCCAAGACGACTGGAAAGGCACCTTCTTTAGAAGGCTCTTAACCAAATTGTCGAATCTGTGGGGAATTACTCTTGGATGGTGCTTGGGGACTTCAATGCAATGCTTTGGCCATCTGAGAAAAAAGGAGGAAGTGACTTCTGCTGGTCCAGTGCAACAAATTTCAAAAATTGCCTCGACTCCTGCCTCATCAAGGATATTGGACTCTCAGGCCCCGGGTTCACCTGGAAAAGGAATGAGCTCCAAGAAAGATTAGACAGAGTCTGTGTTAACGATAGCTGGAATCTCACTTGGGAGAACAGGGGAGTGATCCACCTCCCTTCTTACTCTTCGGATCACCGCCCCATCCTCCTAACCAACAAAAGAGATGACGATCAGCCAACAGGAAACAAACCTTTTCGCTTTCTTGCGTCCTGGCTCACAACAGACAACTTTGGTGATCTGGTTTCTAACTGTTGGAATTCGCCTCACAAGTGGTCAAAAGCGAGGGATACTTTCCAGGAAAAAGTTATTGACTGGCATAAGAATACCTTCAAGATAGCCCAGTGCCAGAAGAATAGATTACATGCTAGAATTAAAGGTATTGAGGATCAAATCAGCTACAGATATGATCACAGCCTGGACAACTTGTTGAGATCCCTCTGGCGTGAACTGGAGCGTATCCTCATCAGGGAAGAGCTTGATTGGTTTCAAAGGTCTCGGTGTGACTGGATTAAGATGGGGGATAGGAATACCAAATTCTACCACTCTAACACAGTGGCTAGGAGAAGGAGAAACAAAATCACTGCTATCAAGAATGAGGAAGGCAACTGGATAACAGATACCCAGGAGATCATAGACTTGGTCGTGGAATACTTCGAGGGAATCTACACTGCAGAGGTGGATTGCTTGGATGATTTCCCTATTAGAGATGCTTTCCCTAGACTAGAGGAGGAAAGAATTTCTGATCTAGGAAGGCTGCCTTCCAATGAAGAAATTAAAACAGATTACGTTCAACATGGGGAAATTCAAAGCCCCTGGACCTGATGGTCTCCAGGTTGTTTTCTACCATGCTCAGTGGAACACAATCTCCCAGTCATTATACCAGCTTGTAAGGGAAATCTTCTTAAATCCAGATAGGGTGGAGGAGATCAACCAGACCCTCCTGGTTCTCATCCCAAAGGTCGAGGTGCCAGAAAGAATTAATCAATTTAGGCCCATTAGCTTATGCAATGTGTCCTATAAGATTGTTACCAAGATAGTGGCGAGTCGCCTGAGGGAATACATGCAGACCTGGATCTCCCCCAACCAGTGCAGCTTCGTACTCGGGAGGAATGGGACTGATAATATTATTATTGCCCAGGAAGTCATACACTCCATGAGATTAAAGAAAGGATCAAAGCAATGGATGGCTATAAAGCTGGATCTCGAAAAAGCCTACGACCGTTTGGAGTGGACTTTCATCCATGATACCCTCATGGAAATTGGTCTTCCTGGGAACTTAATTAAGCTGATTGACAAGTGTGTTAGCTCTGCTTCCATGAATCTCTTGTGGAACGGCTCTAAGACCAGAGATTTCAAACCAGGAAGAGGGATTCGGCAAGGAGACCCATTATCCCCTTACCTCTTTGTCCTGTGCGCTGAAAGACTCGCCCACTTAATCCAGGTTGCGAAGGAAGTCAGAGCTTGGAAACCAGTGAATCTTAAGAAGAATGGGCCTCCCCTAACACACCTTTTCTTTGCGGTTGATGTTATCTTGTTTACGGAAGCTACAGTTGACCAAGCTCAGCTTATTAATCAGGTTCTTAGAACTTTCTGTCAAGCTTCCGGAAAACGTGTGAGCAGAGAGAAATCAAGAGTGTTCTTCTCCAAGAATACCTGCTTTCCCAAGGCAAAAAAGATCAGTGAGTGCCTGAACATAAACTTAACAGGAGATCTGGGCAAATACTTAGGCATACCTCTCCACCATAGGCGTGTATCCAATAGCTCTTTGTATAAGGTGTTGGAGAGAGTTCACAACCGCTTGAATAGTTGGAGTCATCAAACACTATCTCTGGTTGGTCGAGTCACTCTTGCTAAGTCAGTGTTAGCTGCACTACCTACCTACACCATGCAATCAGTTAATCTCCCGCTACAACTGTGTGATGATCTGGATAAAACAACAAGGAATTTCATTTGGGGTTCAGCTCCATATCACCGTAAAGTTCACTTGGTCAACTAGGAGACTCTTTGTTCCCAAAAAGGATATGGTGGTGTAGGACTGAAGCAATCTAGATTAATGAATAAATCCATGATGATGAAGATTGGCCATGGGATCCTATCCAAACCGGAGGCTCTCTGGGTGAAGGTCATTCGCAACAAGTATGGAGTTGGGGAAGATTTGATTCCGAACTTAGGGAGATGTTCGGCTAAATCCAATCTCTGGAAAGGTGTCCAAAACTGTTGGCACCACGTGATGGAGAACTCAAGATTCCTGGTTGGAGATGGAAACAAAACTAATTTTTGGACAGACATATGGCTCCACAATACGACCTCTCTCCTAGCTTCAGCTTCTTCTCCTGCCCCCGAGGAATGCCTTGCTTGGAATGTTAGCGATCTGGTGGATGAACATGGCAGGTGGAAATGGCATCTGTTCCAACATCTCCTCCCCCCTAATATCACTAACACCATAGCTGGGCACACTCCACCTCTCCCAGAAGACGGTGTAGACTGCATCATTTGGAATGAGTCCAATGATGGGTCTTTCTCTGTGAGAAGCGCCTACAGGAAACTCTCAGCATCCACTCACCCCACTAATGACCTTTGGAGTATTCGCTGGGATTGGAAAGGGCCTCACAAGATCCAATTTTTCCTCTGGCTTCTTCTTCACAACAGGATCCTAACCAATGATCAGAGATTGAAAAGAGGATTGTGCAGTACCGCCACATGTCCTAGATGTAATAATCCTTATGAAGACAGTCTACACATGGTAAGGGATTGTGTTTGGGCTCGTAGAGTTTGGAATCTAGTTTTAGGTCCAGGTCTCATACCTCACTTCTCTAATATTACTCTGGATCGGTGGATGGATTGGAATTTGAGAAAAAACTCAGGGAATCGTGATGGTTCTAGAGCTACTTGGTTTGGAGTTACATGCTGGTTCATTTGGCTAGACCGGAATGAATTTGTCTTTAACAACAAACCTCCAAACGCCATTGGCACGTTTCTTCGCATCAGGAATTTGGTAGAGAATACGTACCTGGCAGACAAGATGTTGTCAGCAGCATCTCTTCTCCTCCGTCCCAGAACGGTGGTTGGCATTACTTGGAGTCCCCCGCCTCTTGACTGGTACAAGGTCAATACGGATGGATCAAGTTCCTTGGATGGAAGTAAAACCGCGTGTGGTGGAGTAATCAGGGACTCAGCAGGTAATTGGCTAGTTGGATTCAGGAAAAACACTGGGCATGGGAACTCTCTCTCAGCTGAGCTAAATGGGATCCTTCAAGGCCTGAGACTCGCTTGGGATAAAGGTTACAAAAGAGTTTGTCTGGAAAGTGACTCAATGACTGCAATTAAGCTATTGGAGAATGAATGCAGGGCTTCCCAACCGTATCGGTCTCTGGTCTTGAGAATTCAGACCTGTCTAAAGTGGGACTGGAGAGTGAAATTAACCCATGTGCATAGGGAAGGCAATTCGGTAGCTGATAGTCTAGCTGCTTCTTTTGCTCACTTAGATTGGAATGTGGAGATCCTTGACTCTCCTCCCGTTTACTGTATTAGTTTATTGAGGAAAGACCAGTTGGGAGCTGTGTATCCCAGAATGGTAGCTAGCTAGTGTAACGCCCGGCCGCTTCAAGAATCAATGACTATCCCCACATACTAACACGAGACTTTTCAGTGTGCTTTTTCCTCACTCGCACACTTCCCGGAAAAACTTCCCAGGAGGTCACCCATCCCAGAATTGCTCCAAGTCAAGCACGCTTAACTGTGGAGTTCTTCCGATCCGGGCTACCGAAAAGCATATGCATCTTGTTAGTATAGGTAATACCAATTAATTCTTATAAGCTATCTCAAACTGTGCAGTCTCACACCTGCACAGTCGTTGGAATCCCTCTCTTTCGGGTGTCGATTTGATTCATTCATGCATGTAACCCCCAGCTGAAAGCCTGTCAGGAGCCGCTCATTGTCCATGCCCTTTCGAACCGGTGATCACTCCCCACCCTCATCAGCGCTTGTGATGTTACAGCTAGTCCTCTCTTTCTGTCTTTTCTTTCCTGTCTTATCCAAAAAAAACAAAAACAAAAAAAACAAAAACAAAAACAAAAAAAAACAAAAGTATTATTAACATTAATGGAATTAATAATTTTTGTTTTTCAAACAAAACTTTTATGTCCTTTTATGAGTTTCCATAAACATCACCCTAATGAACAACTAAACATGAAACATGATTTGACGGAACCAAAATGAGTTACTTGTGTTTAATTCTATAAATAGTAACGTAAAGGAATACTTAGGAAAACGTTAACGTTTCGGTTTAGTAGCGTTGGGGTGAACGTAAATATGATTCGGTTTTCCTTGTTTTGTGAAGTTGATACTTGATAGTCAATTATCACAGCTGGTTGGTTGGCATGTTCAGAGTGTTCCCATTGCATGTTCCTTTGTGCCGTCCAATGCCCAATAACCCAAAACAAAAGCTGCTCCCAAAATTTCATTTGGACTATCATAATGTGAAAGCCGGCAGACACCAACAACATCTTTAACTAAATTTGCTGTTTCAGCTCAAAATTATTCTTTAACTAACACAATATCATGTGATAATATTCTTTTTAAAGATTAATTTGATTCATAATCTTGTTCCGAAGGAAAATGAGACTAATCCTCCTTCGAGGAGAGAGGCATGTCCTCTGGACCCCAAATTTTTTTCAAAAATTTGCTTAAGACATGATTTGAATCCTGACCCAAACAAATCCTTAGGAGCTCAATTGCCTTAGGAGTTTGTCATATATTCTTAACTATTGGGATTTTTCAGAAAATATATATTTTACAGATTCTAATGTAATACCACCATATGATTATACAATTCTAGATGTACCTAACAATTCCATATCATTGTAATTGTTCTTAACGATTGGGATTGTTCAGAAAATATATATTGTACACATTCTAATGTAATACAAGCATATGATAAGATAATCCTGGAAGTAACTAACAAATCCATAACTTTGTAATTGTTCTTAACGATTGGGGTTGTTCAGAAAATGTCTATTTTACACATTGTAATTCAATATCAGCATTTTGTAATACAGTTCTTTAAGTACATAACAATTTCACAGCATGGTAATTGTGAGGCAAGCTGAGTTGTGGAGTGGTCCTTCTCCTGCTTATATTTAATTAATTGTGAATTAAGGTAAGTGGTGAATACGTAAAAGCCCATAACTTTTGGGCCCTATTCCGCAGCAGAAGCCTTTTTTGTGATACGAGATGTTCTCACACTCTGGAGTTTGTTAAGGCTATGCCCAACAAAATTATAAAACGAAAAAAAAGGGTAACAAAATTTCAAAATCGCCGTTGCCGGGGATCGAACCCGGGTCGTCCGCGTGACAGGCGGAAATACTCACCACTATACTACAACGACTTTGTGATTTTTTTCGTATGAAATGTTTTATTGATAGAAATTTAATTAATCATTCTGCGGCGAACACAATTCACTATAATAAAGTGAAACACGAACCTCGAGGGAGGGTGGTGCTATTTTTTTTTTTGGTAATCTTGTGTAAGGTGGTGCTATTAAATGTAATGTGGATTAGGAGGCTTTAGCTCATAGCTCTTGTTCATGGAAATCAGATGGTGCTAAAGGATAAAATAGTTTTTCGTGAACTCTTGTGCTTGGTACTTTGACGTTGTTAATTTTCTTGCTGATGCTCTCTCTCTCTCGTATTACGTTATTTTGGAAAATGATTATGGAATTGAACTCTGTAGAGGCTCTTCCTCTTTGCATGAAGATGAAGAAGCCATGCCATGCCATAACAATACTATGCAGTTCTTTTTTCTTTTTTCTTCTTCCCCCCAACCTTGTACCAATAAAAACAATAGCAAAAAAACTACTTTACTTGGTTGGACTTCATGACTAGCATTGTTATTAGTATACAAAGATGAAATATTGGATTGATGCAGAGTTAATTAATATTCATGGAACATCAAATACGTGAATCAATTGATAAAGAATTATGATTGGAATATATACATAGGTATATGTAAGGAGAAGTGGCATAACTAACTTTAGAATATTCTAGGAGGTTAAGCTTAGTATAAGATGGGGAGGGCGAAATGTGTGAAGGCAGACTGAGAATTTGAGATTTCTTAGGCTGGAAACCAGATTATGAGAGAAATCTGAAGCCTCTCAAATTGCTCCAGAAAACCTTTTAGCTTTTCTTGTATGTTTTCTTTCTTCTCCCATTATTTATGAAATTGTCTCTACAATTGTATTTTCCTTAATTGCTTTCAATCAATATATCAGAAAATCCAGTTCTTTTAGGTCATTCTTGGTGTTCTGTGTGTGCTTATCTTTGATATATTTCAGCTTAACCAATTGGGCAAAAAAATTTATTTATTGTAATTTAATTAAATAATTACACATTTATTACAGTTTTGGAAATAATTACGGATCTATTGCACAATGTGACGCCTTTTTTGGGCGTCACATGTGACGCCTCATTTAGGCGTCTCTCACCAAGGGAAGACGCCCCAATGGAGCGTCTCTCATGAGGTGTTGACACATGTTATTTCTCTCTCCAAAAAAAATTATAATTTAATCATAAAACTTCTGAAGGCCATAACTTTTGACTCGGGTATCCAATTCAGGTAATTCTTTTTTTGATTCCACATAACTTTTCGAGATCTACGCAATGACATCTCATTTGATATATTTTATTTCTCACAAACATAATTTAAATTTGCAAGAATGATATTATAAGAGCGTTTAAATCCACAAGCCTCTGAGTACTAGATTTGTGATTTAATATAAAAAAAATCCAATTCAGGTAATTCTTTTTTTGATTCCACATAACTTTTCGAGATCTACGCAATGACATCTCATTTGATATATTTTATTTCTCTCAAACATAATTTAAATTTGCAAGAATGGTATTATAAGAGCGTTTAAATCTACAAGCATCTGAGTACTAGATTTTTGATTTAATATAAAAAAAATAAAGATTTAGTTTGTGATTTAAATTTAAAAAAAATCACATTTTTTAATTTTTAATATAAAAAATAAATAAAGTTTTGGTTTGTGATTTAAATTTAAAAAAATCTAAAAAATTATGATTAATAAGGAAAACAAAATAAAGATTTGATTTGATTTGTGACTTAAACTCAAAAATCAATTTGAAAAATATGTATAATAAAAAAATAAATAAATAAATATTATAAATCTCTAAGTAAGAAGGATTTTATTTTTGAAAACCATTCAGAAGCTATAATTTAAATGGCTTTAAAGAAAAAAGTCATAAAATAGAAGGATGTAACTTATGATACCGTATGATTCAAGATACAAAAAATCAACCAAACGATACACAATACGAATTTCGGTTCAATAACATTGTACACTATTTTTTTCAAACACTTGGTTTTGGTGTGTTTGGTGTTGATTCGGAAAGAACTAAGAGACTTTTAGGTTTAAACGCTCGTATAGTACCATTCTTGCAAATTTAAATTATGTTTGTGAGAAATAAAATATATCAAATGAGATGTCATTACATAGATCTCGAAAAGTTATGTGGAATCAAAAAAAAATTTACCTGAATTGGATACCCGAGTCAAAAGTTATGGCCTTAAGAAGTTTTATGATTATATTATTATTTTTTTTGGAGAGAGAAATGACATGTGTCAACACCTCATGAGAGACGCCCCATTGGGGCGTCTTCCCTTGGTGAGAGACGCCTAAATGAGGCGTCACATGTGACGCCCAAAAAAGACGTCACATTGTGCAATAGATCTGTAAATACTCTCCAAACTGCAATAAATGCGTAATTATTTAATTAAATTACAATAAATAAATTTTTTTGCCTAACCAATTGTCTCAAATTCGAGTTCCGAATATGTAGCTGTATTAAAATCTTGATTTGAAAAACTTTGCCGCCCTTAGCTTGACCGAATTAATCAACTAATCGATAAACCGGTAGAGAAATCTCATAAACAAGAAAAAATAAATTAATATTCATCATGGCATAAGTTTCATTCATTTAGACCTCCACGAAATTGAACATCACTCCTCAGTTTTAGTTAATAAATATTAATGGCATGAACCTGAAGAGCACACTTTGATACATCTCAGGCTTTTTGTTTATTACATATCAGACTGAGAGGGACTATTGTGTCCGAACCACTGGTTGGTCAGCTTCTTGATCCGAATCAACACAAGAAAACTATTTAAACTAGTTAGTAGCAGATGAGTAATGCAGATACCATCGAAACCTTCTTCCTCTCTGCTCTACATTGTTTAAGATGATTGACATTGGTGTTTGTCACAACAGGCTGCACAAGCACAAGTTGTTTCCTGTACCAATGGAAAATGAAAATTTTTTAACCCTCTGAACAGAGAAATGTTGTTAGAGAATTAAATCTCAAAATGGACTTCAGAATGGAAAGCAATGCTGCAAATGGAGGCTAGATGAACACCAAGAGAACAATATTAACTGCTCATTACATACATATCCCTATCAAACATTTAGCTTTTATGTGTATAGAATAAAATAAAACCGAAAGAAATTAAATTAAAGCTCTCTCACTTGAATTATTTTGATATTCGTATTCATGGTTTAAGATCAGCTTGAGGCACCCAATGCTTCCGAGAGATGCATCAGGCTTGTTTGGATGAACTTTAAACTGCATGCATTGCTTTTTTTAGAAGGACTTTTTTTTTAAAAGAATTTTTTAGTGTTTGGATCAATATCTAAAAAACATTTTTAAGTTAAAAACAATATTTTGGCTGTTTCAAAAGCCATAAATCTTATCAAGCACTATTTTAGCTGCTGCTTTTTTTTTTTTTGTCCAGACATTTGCTTTTTTCAAAAGTTGCATCTAAACAGACAAAATGAAAAACAATTTTATTTTGAAAAAAAAAAAAAAAAAAACAGCTTCTAGGGAAAAAAGCTCATCCAAACAGGCTCTATAACAGTTCCATTCAACTTGTCAATGAACTAGATGTTTGTTCCCCTTAAAAGAACAAAGATAAAGGATATAGCATGACTGGTTTGGAACTATCAATCATCCAGTAAATAATTGATTAAGAAAACCTTTCTTTCACCAGTGGCTGTAGTTCATATACTTTGAGTTGTCATTGATGTTGAGCCTCAAAATTACTGCCAAGATTTCATTTTCCCACCAAAGAAGAAACATGATTTCAAGCTAGAGAACAATGTGCAGTGCCAAGCCTCAAAATGTGGTAATCAAATACCATGAGACAGAAAATGTACCTGTTTAACACATCTTAAGTAATCCGGAGAGAGCAGGAAGAATCATTTTCTTGCTTCACGTGCAAGGATCGTCTCTGATGCTCAACTCGCTGAAGTTGTGATGACAGTTGAAGCAAGTCAATGGTGGAGCCATCTTCATAAGAAAGACGATTTTTCACATTCACAAAATCTGACCCTTGGAAAATCCCATCAGCCATTCCAAAGTTGACAATTTCATTATTGTCTGATATCAGTATAGGACTAAGATGACTTCCATCTGCAGGATTCAATTCAGATGGAAACCTATCCGACACTCCACTAGAACCCTGTGAACTTAATCCTATCATCTTTTCAGAGACCTGATTCATGCTGTAATGGCTATGGCTGCTTGGAATAACCAAGTGGTGAGCCATGGGAATTCCTGATGATTGGCTTGACGAGTTCTGGGATTGAGATGACAGAAGAGAGAGAGCACAACCAGAGTCTGAAATTCCCGATAATCCTTGAACAGTTGATTCTGTATCAAAAACATTGAAGTCTTCGCTTCCTGAGGAAGTGTTCTGGAATAATGATTGCGACGTGAGGGCAGGTGGATATTGACTATTATTTTCACAGAAGATCTTTCCTGTGGCAGATGTAGCACCATTTTCCTGAAGAAAGGGAAATTGTTTTTCACTATATGAAGGAAATAGAGACCTTGACTGATGATGTCCATTGGTAGTTGGAATAGAAGAAAGATGCCTATAACCAGTGCTATCTTCGGCTTTTATAGGTCTCCACCAGTCACTTGTTCCATGTTTCTCAAAAGATAAGACCCCGCTGGGGAGTATCTCTTGGCAGATAAAAGATGATGATGTTAGCATGGTTCCCTGGAATCTGCCATCTGCAAGAACCACAGGATCTTTATAAAGTTACAGATCAAAAATTTTTATTAATATAAGATTGCAAATGTTTGGAAAACTAGTATTGGCGAATCAGTTATTATAGAAGTCAAAGACCAAATTTCAATTACAAACAATTTTAAAAAATGAAGCAGCTCAATACCGATTAAGGACCCGAAAGGGTCTTAGAATTTATGTCACACTGGCCAATATTTAAACATATAGCGACTAATTCCAGGTTTGTAATGATTACAACATCTTGGAAATTTAGAATTTAGCACAATTTTTAAGCACAAGGAAATGTGGAAACTTTATCTCATTCCATGCATAAAACAAACGGAAATATAAGAATCATGTTGCAGGAATGGTACTGTTCATCCTGCAACCATTTTTTGACTATGTACTCTCGGGAATACATAATTAAAAAAAGTAACTTTAATATTACAACTATGTACTCCCAGGAGTACATAGTTAAAAAATGAGTTGCAGGATGTCCAGTAACAGGACATCCGATGCACCCTAAAACAAAATATACAATGCAGAGTAAACTACAGAAACTGTCACATTACTTCATCTTTCTTTTTTTTAATCAGAGACAGAAAATGGGTTGCAACAGCCAATATATATGCTTAAACATAATGTTTGTAATGTCAAATAAAAACTGGGAAATAAAAGTCATTAGACTTCATTTTGACAGAGAATCATTTTCTTCAGATATGATCCCATTAATCTCATAGAATAAGTCACTTATGGTTCACGTCCGCCATTTGACCAAAGAATCCAAATTAAAGCTTACACCAAAATGACAACTGATAAAGAATGGCACAAAACCAGCACATGTAGGAGAATATCAATGGAAATATATTCTGAAACAAAGTTGACAATTGATAAAGAATGACAAAGAACCAGTACATGATATAGAGGTCTACATAATAATTTCAACTAAGAAAACTACATTACATATCGTAGAGTGATATGGCATGATGACAGATAGTTAGCAAAGACATAGCATCAAGTTAAAAGTTTACAGAAAATTGTCTAACAAGCGCACTACAGGATTCAACAGAATCAATCTCAAAATTGAGAAGCTAGGCACAAAAGTGAACAAAAAATTTACTCATTCTCATTCAACACTGTATGGTCATATATATTTCAGAAAGCCTCTGGAAAGGTGAAAATGAACTAAAAAAAGGAACCAAGTTTACTAAGGCATGCTTCTATATCTGTCATAATGAAGCAGTCAAATATCAACTATGAAGGTTTATTAAGTTACAGTGATTCATGAATCCTCTAATTTTGAACTTCAGCAAACATGATGGAAAAGAAATGAACAAGAAAAGCAACAGAGGAATATTCAAGTGCATCTAGGAAGGATGGAACTTTGAGAGGGAGAAAGAGAACAATTAATATGATATAATTTAAGAAATATATTATTACCACCATATGGCTGAAGCAACCTCCCAGCTTTTCCAGAGTGAATACTGACTTGTGGCTTTCTTCGCCTCTCATTATGGCCTGCAAGGCGTTTACGACAGCTACGCTTACCATCATCAAATTCAGCCAGCAAATGAAACCTGGACAGTAAGCTAAACATTACAGCAAAGCTATATATCATAACAATACGGTTTCTTATTTATTTTAGAAAATCTGAAGCTGAAAAATTAATGGAGAAAAAATAATACATTTAATAGGAATATTCATAAAAGGGTGGTTTCTTCCATTTAAGAAAAAGAAGTAACAACCAAAAACGAATAGATGTGTTTAGCTCAAGAAGAATATCTAAGAACCCAAAATCATTAATTTGGACGATTAGAAAATTGGTTAAACCAACCTTTTTCCCAATAATGCAGATATGAAGCAACTAGGAAAAACAGTTAGGAATATAACTTGGAAAATAATGGGTGTTATGGTAAGGCATGACAGCATAGGGTGAAAGCAAAAATCAGATCAAAACTTTTAAAACTCATATGGCATGCAATTGAGGAGGTAAAAAGTCAAGGTTTAGTTTTCCAATAGGTGTAAGAAAGGAGGCAAGCCTTTGGGTGAAGGCTAAACAAATTTGAGTTTCAATGTAAGTTTAGCTCACAGCAGCAACCTGCAAATAAAAAAGATGTGAAAGATGAGAACTTGAAAGATTGACCAACCTACTACATTGCTGACAAAACCTTTGTTCAATGCCGTTCACTATAACTTTGGAAGTCTTGGAGTGAACCTCACAAACTTTGTGCCTCTTGTGGTAGTCTTTGCAAGCACTCAGATCCTTGTTACAGCCATAGACTTGGCAGTATGTAGTTTGAGAGTGGACCCCTGAAGCTCTTACCCTCTTGGGCGGTGTCGATGACTCAGATGAAGACAAAATGGGAGTTCCCTTGGAAAATATTGGATCCATGGCATCTCCATGATCATTAAATCGACCCAGTTTCAAATCAATGAGGGAATTGCAACAATTAGAGTCCCCCAGAGAGTTTGAAAGCTTGGAATTGAAGTCCTCTCTTGCAGAAAATGCATTTGGGGCAGCCACAACAGGATTAGAAATTCTGCAGTCAGCACCACTATCCATCTTTCTGCTATGAACAGTACCACTAGGATCATCAGAGAATTGTTTCCCCAACATTCCAGGAAAACCCAATTCCTCAAAACCTTGATTCTCAATGTTTTGCTGACCCAAGGCCAACATGTCATTGGAAAAACTACATGGGGTTTTCAGTTCCCAACCCAAGAATGAACCTTTGCTTCTCCCAAGCGTATTAGGAGGAGAAAGTGCATCATTAGAAACATACCCTTTTTCTTCTGAAACATAAATCCAAGACTCCATCACAAGCACACACCAGGATCAGAATACAAGAGAAACCAAACAACCCCACTTCAATTGATGCAGGAATAGTATCTCAACAGCAACAGAATTTCAAATCTCATAGCTTCACCAGAGAACAAGGTTAACAAAGAAGAACCATTGCAGAGCCTTCAAAAAGCACTGCGAGTGCCCCAACAAGAGAAAGATTGAAAAGCAAACAAATTTATTGTCCCTGAAGCTGAAGCCACAATTTTTTTATAACCACTCAATTCCTGAGAAACCAAATAGATTGAAAAAAAAAGAGAGAGAGGAAAAGATAACCCGTTAGAGAAAACTTGAAACAAAGGAACAGTAAAGAAACTACAGAAATGTCAGAACCCCACGTGATATGAATCAAGAAACACCGCGGAAATAGGTCAATGTGCTCAGTGTAAAGAGTGTGTTAGCTCAAGCAGAGGACTGAATGGAGGCAAAAACACAACTCAGATAATGAATGAGAAAGCCATTCAGTGGCTTTGAAAAGGAAAACTATAAAAGTTAACTAAAACATGATTGAGAGAGAGAGAGAGAGAGAGAGAGAGAGAGAGAGAGTTTACAAGTGTAGACTGTAGTTGTATAAGTGTGGAATGGGGTTGAGGGTGATGCAACTCAAAGTGAAAGAGATTTGAGCGCTTCCCAAATTCCATGGAAATTAAAGGAGATTTGTGGTTGCTATTTCTAGAAAGAGACTCTGAGAGTGGGTAAACCAAGAGATTTTCTTTTTACTTTATTTTCTGCTTTTGTTAAGTAACTTAGCAGCATCATAATATGAAATGATGTAAGGGGTTGTTTGTTTCAATAGTTTTGATTTGTTTCCCATCAGACTGATTTCTACATAATAAGTTGTCCACGTTTGGTTCGCTAATCTTATTAAATTTACCCAATCTTATTAAATTTACCCATCAGTATCAGTTGCCCAGCTTTTGAATTTGCATGTTAAAAAGCAAAAAACCACTGTTCCAAAAAGCAAGTTTGAAGGTGGTATTTGTGTGAAAAATCCGAGAACTTAATAAAGTGGTTTATAAAGTAACACAATTATCCCTTACAATTGGTCCTACATGGTTATTTTTAAAAGGATAATTTTGTAATTTGATTAAGTTTTTTCATCAATATTTTATCTTCAACTAAATACACATTCAAGAATTTCTCTCAATTTTCCTAGTAAATTTTTTTCCATCCAAACAACTTTTTTTACATTTTCCTACCAAACTCACTTTCCAACCATTTTCCTTTCAATTACATTTTTCTAGTATTCAAAAAAAATTTCCTCAACCAAACGCCCCCTAAGAAATTAATTAGATTAGGATAGATAGTAAAGAAAATTAGAATTAAGAGTAGCACCCAGAATTTTACCATTATAAAGGATAATAGGTCGGACATATGAGAGTCGCAATTCTTAAAAAGTAAAAAGAAAAGAAAAAAGACCCACTCCTGAAATCGAATTAATCTGATCCTTAGGTTTTTGACACCTATTGTGACCCACTCCTGAAATCGAATTAATCAGATCCTTAGGTTTTTGACACCTATTGTTATCTATTCAAAGTAAACAAAAAGACTGAAACCTAAATTAATAATATGATTAAAGATTGAGAAAGGTTATAGTTACTGCTTTTTTTTTTTACTACTTATTACTATTAAATTTTAACCGTTGATTTTCATCAATCTAACGGTTATAATTTATTAGAATTAATAATTAATTAATAAATGTGACTCAATAAATCATAACCGTTAGATTGACAAAAATTAATTATTAAGATTTGACAGTAACAAATAGTAAAAAAAATAATAAGTGTAACTTTTCACTTAAAGATTTCTCATGGAAGAGAAGAATCTTTTTTCCTGCTAATACAACAAACATATATATTCCACTTAAAAGAGAAAAGATAAAAAAAAAAATTCAATGAAACCCATTGTTTGTTATATCAGCAAAAGAAGAAAGATTCTCGTATGACATAAGAAATTAATAACCCTTAATAATATGTGCACATAAACATTAAGAACATGTCTGAAGTACCTGATAAAGAAAATAGAATATGATAACTTATCATATCTTATTTTTATTTCTTGTTTGGTGAGTCAATATGATATGATTAATTTATCCTATTGTCTCATTTTATTCTATCTAATACATGATTTCTTATCCTATGAGAGGAGCTGAGTTAAGATTCAATAAGATAGGATACCAATATTGGATACTCAATATATCACGCTACCCAATATATTTGTATTTATTGCATTATATTTTGTTTTTTCTTTTTCTTTTTTCCTTCTACATAATCTTATCAGATTGCTAATCAGATGCTCATCAAACACAAGACATGATATAAGTTTATCAGCCCCATATCATATCCTACCCTTATCATATCCTGTCCACCAATCGAGTCCTAAACATGTATTTGCCGGTTTAATCTTTTATTTATAAAGAAAAATTATTTTAACTAATAAAATACGTTATCTGCTGTAGCTTATTAAGAAGAAGAAAAATATAGAAACAAAACAAAATTCTCAAAAACAAAAATAAGTGATGAGCGATTAATGTATGGCTGTTGTAGTGTAGTTGGTAGTCAACATCATTTTCCTATCAGTTTTTTTTTTTTTTTTTCGTTCTTGCAAATAATTGGTTCCGTACTTCCGTTGACTCGAAAGTGGTGACAAGTCGTGGTTCAGTTGCTAATTTGAACTCTACGCGAGTGAAATTTAATTCCATAACAACATTTTGAATTTGGATTTTATAATTCTCATTCAACATGAGAATTAAAATTTTTCTAAACACCATTCGATTTCTGTACTGACATGAGTCTTACATATAATTTTTTTTAACACATAAATCTTATATGCTTTTTATCTCTACAACATAAGATTTCAATTCTCCTTCAATATAAGAATTATAAAACTCTTTGAATTTTACCATTACATATTTGGGAAAACCTTTGAATATGAAATTAACTAGTAAAATTATTTTTTTAAGAAAAAAATTCTGATAAATTTTTTTCCATTGTTTTCTTTTTGGAATATAAATTTAATTTAATACTATAATATTTTTAGTATCAATAAAAATATTACATGATTATATAAATTTTTTATTGAAAGTATTTACTGTTTTTTAAAATATATAAATTTTTATTCACTAACATCGTAAATAATTTTATACTATTGATCAATCATATCATGGTATATAATTAATAACAGTTAAAATGTTACTTTAGAGTTAAAAAGCTTTAAAAAAGAGAACGTTGTCCCATTAAGTCAAAGTCAATACCTTCTAATTATAGTTGTTCGATTATATCAAAAAAATTAATTCTGATTGTCACTTAAAAACTTTTAATAAAAGAAAAATATCAATGTTTCGTGTTTGAAAAATATGAGAATACTTGGGCTAAGGACGACGGATGCATGTCACTTTATGCTGGTACTTAAGTAGGTTTCATGACTTAACATCTTATAAGATCCTCTCTTTGAACATGTTATGTAGAAATAACATAACATGTTAAGAAATTATTTTTTTTAATGAGGAAAAGGGCAACTCACTTTCTTTTTTAATGTATTTTATTTTTATTATGACAATCATATCTTTGATAAATGAAACAACCTTGTAACATGATTATGTCTTGAATAATTTATTTAAAAAAAATATATACATATGATGCTTTTGAAGTTTGAAAACCCCTCGCTACTAATCTCAAAGAACATTTGTACATTGATTTAAAGTTTAAATGTGTAAAACAAAATTTTCAAAAATAACTCTTGAAATAATTCACTAAATACTTTTTATTAGAATCATAACGACATATTCAACATAATTTATCATCCTTTTTTTTTCTTCCGAATATACTATCGAACTTAGCTCATTGACTTAATGAGAAATCCTAGATTCCTAGGGGAAGTCTAGGGCACTCGCCACCTATAAGAGGGAACTTCACCCTCGTGGAAAAAGAAAGAGAGGTATTAATCTTACCTTATACACTACATATATCATTTTTAATGATTTGAGCGATGGAGTACCTTGCAAGTGCAACACCCTCTTGTTAAATGAGAGCATGCAGATAAGCTTCTCACAACAACCACTATCACTCCTACTCCATGGAAGCTCAAGTATAACCTCACATTATGTTCAAGTAACCACATCTGAACATTGGTATAACACCTCACATATTTAAAATGCATATTAATAGTTAAATCGTGTGTTAGAGGATATGTTTAGTGAAAATCTTAAGTTTTGGGTCAAAACACACAAGAAAGGTAAAACGACAAATCAACAAATATGTAATCCTGAATTGTAAAATGATAAAATTTGGCCTGAATTTATGAAAATAATACTGAAAATTGATTCATAACAAAAAATTGAGTAGTTAGGCAAGTTTCTAGAAAATTAATGAATAGTTTTTTTACCGGATAAAAAAATTGCAGTACAATTGCACCGAAAAAACGTGAAAAGTGAGATTACTTCTCTAGGATTGAATATATGTTGGAAAATGTACTTAGAATCAAGAAATAGAATTAGTGGTATTATTTGATGAATTTTAGGCTTTTTGAAAAAATGTGCCAACGGTGCACCATTAGGGGTAAAACAGTAATTTCACCAAATTACTAAGAAACTCTAGATTCATATGTTCAAGGGTAATTAAAGGACATTTGTAAGAACTCGCACTGCTAAATAATTAATTAAATAAGATTATCATGCCAAAGCATGGATTTGATAAAGATTATGCATAATTATGGAAAGATAAATATTTAGAAAGTCGAATAATTCTTAAAGTCGCTTTTCTGATGAAAAGTGCAGATACCGGTTCTGCTTCACGGTATAAGTGTGTACCGGTGAAGTATCCCGAAAAATTATAATAAGTATATGAATATTCCTAGAATAATATCTAGGTCTGGAATACCAAATTTGGAGTGAGAATAATGAGCGTTGATGCCAAAACTTATACCGGCTACGTATAAAATGTGTATCGGCAAAATGCTGCGAAAATTATAATAAAAATATGGTAAATCCTAGAAAAATGACCAGGTTCAGAATATGAAATTTGAGGTTAAAATGAATAGCGAAGCTATTAGTGCTAATACTGATGGATTAAACTTAATGCACCTATAAATGCTTAGTGGCACAATATCCTAGGCCATATTGCACATCCTACGTGACCCTTGTGCTTCAGCTGTGTGTCTTCACCTTGCCACCACCCTTCTTCACCAAGAAAACCTTCAAGAGGCCACATTTCCTCTTGATTTCTTCACTAAAACTCCATAGTTGAGTGTAGACTAGCTTTGGGAGGTAGAAAGATACCCCTTTTATATGTTGGAGTTTCTGTATGGTGAGAGTTGAGAGCTGAGTTCATTGGTTTGTGATGAGGGGGGTCATTCCTTTGGCATTTGAAGCTTCAAGAAGCCATCTTTTGGGTAGAGGACCAAGCTTGAGGGTTCATTTTCGTGGTCTTGCTGTGGCAGAACCTTCGAGTTGAGTGGAAGGCTCCAAGACCACTCTTTTACTCTGTTTTGAGCTCTTGGGTAAGCACCACTACCTTTGCTCTTGATTTTCTATAGAAAGGATGAACCTTGATGCATGTAATAAGTGAAAG